GCAGCTCTGGTTCACAGTGGCACCCCGTGGCTTTCCCTTACCTTTGGGCAGTCCCAGCTGCTGCAGCTCCCCTGGCAGAGATTCCCTGTCTGCATCGTGCCCTGGGGAGGATGAAGTCACCTCCACATCCCCTGACTCTGCAGCCGGGGGGGAGGGTGAGCTCTGTCACTTTGGCATTCCCAGGAGCATGGCTGCCGTCCCTGGAGCACGGCTCCATCCATGCCAAGGCCAGCAGAGGTCACCGAACTCTGCATCCCAGGTCAGCCTCAGCATCTCCTCACACTGGGGGGGACAGAGCGCCATGGCAAACCCCAGCTGACACCTCAGGGTTAACAACAACAATTCTCACCTAAATATTAACACCAAAAACATCTGCTGTGCATCTTATTACTGCTAGGACAGGCTGGGACCTTTGACCCCTGACCTTTGCCTGTTGACCCTTGACCTTTGACCCCTGACCTTTGACCCTTAACCCTGACCTTTGCCTTTTGACCCTTGACTCTTGACCCCGACCATTAACCCTTGACTTTTGACCCTTGACCTTTGACTCTTGACCTCGACCCTTAACCTTTGACCCGTGACCTTTGACCCTTAACCCCTGACCTTTGACCCTTAACCTTTGACCCCTGACCTTTGATTCCCCCCCCTGACGTTTGACCCTTGACCTTTGATCCAGTCTGAACAGTTCTGATCCGGTTTGATCCTGTCTGAACCGGTCTGATCTGGTCTGAACCGGTTCCAACCGTTCTGAACCGGTTTGATCCGGTGCTGACCAGTCTAAACTGGTTCAAAGCGGTTCGAGCCTGTCTGAACCGGTTCCGACCGGTTCAATCCGGTTGGTGCCGTTTGAGCCCTGCCCTGTCCCCGCTGTCCCCGCGGTCACGGCCATTGCTGAACTCTGCTGTCCCAGCGTTCCTCCTCCCCCCCCCCTGCACTGCAGCTCTCCCCAGACACCTGGAAGCTTCCAGCACCTTCTGACTCTGCCACAACTGCAGCACCACCTCTGGGGAGCTAAGCAGCAGTTATTTATTTATTCATTTATTTATTCATTTATTTATTCATTTATTTATTCATTTATTTATTCATTCATTCATTTATTTAGTTTTTTCATTCATTCATTTATTCATTTTTTCCTCTATTTAGTTTTTTCATTTATTCATTCATTCATTCCTTTATTCATTCACTTATTCATTAATTTATTTATTCCTTTATTTATTTATTCACAGATTATGGCCCTGGGATTTCCAGCAGCACAGAACTGAGTTCCCCTCTCAATCCTGGCTCGTTCCTCATGTGGATAAAACCAAGTTTCAGTCATTGGAAAATCCCTTGCCCTGCACTTTTTCCATTCTGGATCTCGCTGCTGAAGTCACTGTTGTGTTTCCAGCTCAGTGTGGCACTGTGCAGATGCTCAGTAAATAGAAATATTTTCTTCCAAGTCATTTCCAATCAGCTAATGGAATAATTGGATAATGAAGAGCAAACAGAAGTTGTGTGATGACTGAGCACAACAGGAGTCCTGAGGAAAATGCTGGAATTCCTGACTGCAGGTTCCAATATTGTAACACAGCAATGTCCACTCTGAGAAACTCCCACCTTCTAAAAGAGCTGTTACCAACAGCATTAATCCACGTTCTTGTCACTTTGGTGACTCCATTCCTCCTGGCACTCACATGCAAAGGGAGGAATTTGGGATCTTCACTCGAGGCTTGGAAAAGAAAGAACAAAGCAGGAAAACTCTTCCAGCCTCTGTCCTTCCTGCTCAGCCTCCAAGAGAGATGAAAAAACATTTTAGTCCCGTGCAAATACATCAGCTCCTTTTCCTAAAAACATCTGCTCCAAGAAATGATTTCCCTTGCTTTGGCTGCATCCCCAAGTATGCTCTGTGCACCTCGGAGGTGAGGGGATTGTCACAAGGAAATAAAACAAGCTTGGTGACAGATTTCTTCTGGAACAAAGACCATGGGAAGAGTGCAGCTCAAACCATCCCAACCCTGGCAGCCCCGTGTCACAGGCAGCACAATCCCATGGGCTCAGCCCCCCCAGTTTCTGGGGAAATGAATGCTCACAGTTTGCTGAATGCTCCTCCAAAAGCAGAGGGGTCAGCACCAAGCCCTGGGAAGCCAAGGATTGTGCAGAGCCCCCAGTGCAGCAGGGGTGGCAGGACACGAGGTTTGTGCTCTGCCACAGCAAGAG